CACGCTGCCGCTCATGATACTCGCACCTTGGATCGCGTGCGCATTCCCTTCACGCCTTGCGTGTGCGGTGACCGGCTCCCCACGCGCACGCATGTCACCTTCGACTGCCCGGCTATGCCTTCCCCTCTGGCTCATCGCTCCTCTGCAGAGCACCGTTTCTTGGTTCCCCTGCTTTCCGGGCTGAGTGCCCCTGAGTGGCAGCTCCCGGATGTCCCTGAGGACTTGTTGCTTGCACTCTCGGACGCCGAGACGATTGACTCTGCACTGCTGGTTGCCACCGATGGCAGCGCCTTGCATGCCCCTGAGGCTCATGATCTCTTGTGGTTCCAGCACGCAGGCTGGGGCATTGCTTGTGCACCTGGTGTAGGGTTTGGTGGGGTGGTTCCTGGGTTAGATAGGTCCTCCGCTGCAGCAGAGCGCTATGCTCTCCTCGTGTTAGCCACAGCAGCTGCCCAGCTGGGTGCGCCAGTGTGTGTTTTCACAGACAACAAAGCTTTGGTTACCGGGTTCCGATCTGCTCTTGCCATAAACGGCGAGTTTCGAGCCTACTGGGCGCTTGTTCACCGCCTGCTTCCTGCAGGCTCCGCTGTGTACTGGGTGCCTGCACATGGCCGCCATCCCGAATGGGAGTCACCACTTGCTCCAGTGCCTACCGCAAAACTGCGCGCTCTCAATGAGACTGCTGACAGCGCAGCTGGTCAAGCCACTGCGCCTTTTAACCATGTTTTCGCTGCAGCCAAGATGGCTGCGGCTCAAGCTGCCTCCTGGGCAGAAAATGCGGTGACCCGCCAAGCCTTGCTTGTTGCAACCTGGCACGATGCTGTCGCCCAGGTCGCTAGAGCAGCGGGCAGGGTGAGGGACTTCTAGACGCCTTGACTGGCTGTTACCCACACTTGTGGCAGGGTGCAGTCACGCCATACATACATACATACGTCTAGGGTTTAGGGTTTAGGGGCTGGTGGTTGCTTGAGCTGGCTAAATTACTAAACCCTGGCCACAACACCCAAAAACATCGCCTAAGCTCCTAACCGCCTGAAGCCCCACCCCCCCCCAAAAAAAAAAAACAACTCCCTGAACCCTAGCCCTTGAAACCCCTGCTCCCCTAAGCCCTTCAAACCCCTTCACCCTAAACTCTCCCCTGAACCCCCAAACCCCTGAATCCCTGGGTTCAAGGCTTAAACCCTACACCCTCAAAGCACCCTAAACCCCAAACCCCAAACCCCAAGCCCTGAACCCTAAACCCTAAACCCTGATTAAACAAAAAAAGCGCCGTGGCAAGGCTTGGGTTACACTGCCAGCGAAGGCCAGTGCCCAGCATCAAAGGTACCCACAGAGAGCCTCTTACCCCGCGGTTTATCGGGTTTAGGGATTAGGGTTTGGGGCCGACAGCAGGGATCCGAAGAAGGGACCCAGGGGGTGTTCAAGGGTGGTATATACTTTGGTATAGAAGGACCATATAAGAGTTTTCCTGCACAGAATCTTGAAGTCTTTGTTCTCCCTTCATCGTGGGGTCTAGGGAGGGCCCTTTGTCTTATCATTACCTACTCCTACTCCTACTCCTACTACTACTACTACTACTACTACCACTACTACTACTACTACTACTACTACTACTACTACTACTACTACTACTAGTAGTACTACTAGTACTAGTACTACTACTACTACTACTACTACTACTACTACTACTACTACTACTACTACTACTACTAGTACTGCTACTACTACTACTACTACTACTACTACTACTACTACTACTACTACTACTACTACTACTACTACTACTACTACTACTACTACTACTACTACTACTACTACTACTACTACTACTACTACTACTACTACTACTACTACTACTACTACTACTACTACTACTACTACTACTACTTGCTGCTACTACTACTACTACTACTACTACTACTACTACTACTACTACTACTACTGACCACTACCACTACCACTACCACTACCACTACTTCTACTACTGCTACTACTACTACTACTACTACTACTACTACTACTACTACTACTACTACTACTACTACTATGTAATTATATGTACATGTACATGCATATGTGTTTGTACTTGTATTTGTATTTGTATTTGCAGTTGTATTTGTATTTGCATATGCCTAAGTCTATATCTATGTCTATGTCGATGTCCATGTCCATGTCTATGTCTATGTAATTGCAATGAATCACCTCAACCATTGGGAACTGTTATCTCTTCGACACAATGTAGGTTTGCTCCAGGTGGAGTTTTCTGTTTCGGGTATCGCGTTGAGTTCATCCCCGTATTCCTGGTAAGGGCCGAAGCCCTAAGCGTTCTGCCCAGGCTTGAACCATGAACCCGAAACCCTACCCTAACCCCTAAACCCTAAAACACTCAGCCCGAAACCCTAAACCCCTAAACCCTAAGCGTTCCCCTCACGCTGAAACCCGAAACCCGAAACCCGAAACCCTAAACCCTAAAACCTAAACCCTAAACCCTAAACCCTAAACCCTAAACCTCCCTGACGCTTTTGAACACGAGGCCGCCTTACCATGGAGGGCTCGTCGCGGCGGCAGAACAGCCCCACCCACGGCGCGCCTCCGAGCCCTGTGTAAAGCAGTTTTCGGCCTTGGCAGTCGGGAGGTTTAGGGTTTAGGGTTTAGGGTTTAGGGTTTAGGGTTTAGGGTTTAGGGTTTAGGCTTTCTAGGGTCTTTAGGGGTTTTAGGGTTTTGAGGGTTTTGAGGGCTTTTGGGGTTTGTAGGGCTTGGGGTCGTTTAGGGTTTAGGGTCTAAGGTTTATGGTTTAGGGTTTAGGGTTCAGAGTTTGGGGTTTACGTTTTAGCGTTTAGCGCTCTTTTCGGTTTTTAGGTTTCTGGATTTAGAGTTTAGGGTCATTTATGGTTGTTCGGGTTTAGGGTTTCGTTTTTTTGTTTTAATTTGTTTGTCTTTAGGGTTCCGAGTTTAGAGTCATTTGGGGTTGAGGGTTGAGGGTTTTGTATGTGTTTTCGGGTTGCAGGTCAAACCCTCAAACCCTAAGAACCATAAAAACCATAAAGCAGCCCTAAACAACCCTGAAGCCTCTAAATAGCCCAAAAAACCCCAAACCTGGCCTCCTGCTTTGATGCGACATCTGCCGCAGAACGCCTTTTCCGAGAGCACGCCGATCGAAAGGCACCGACCCCAGAGTGCGGTTTAGGGTTTAGGGTTTAGGGGTTTAGGGGTTTAGGGTTTAGGGTTTGGGGTTTGGGGTTTAGGGTTTAGGGTTCAGGGTTTAGGGTTTGGGGTTTGGGGTTTAGGGTTTAGGGTTTGGGGTGTAAGGGCTTACGGTTCGAGTTTACTTAGGGAACCCTACACTCTACACCCTAAATCCTGTCCTTTAAGGATACCAGGGGGTTTTAGAGTTTAGGTTTCAGGGGACGTGATGGATATCACGGGGGCTTGGCCAACGTCCACTTTCTCTACAACTCAACCCTGAACCCGAAGCCCTAGGAGTTTGTGGTTTAGGGTTTGGGTTCAGGGTTTAACCCCAAACCCTAAACCCTAAACCCATAAACCCCTAAACCCCGAAACCCCCTAAACCCCCTAAACCCCCTAGACCCCCTAAACCCCCAAAACCCCCTGAACCCCGAAACCCCGAAACCCCTTAACCCCTTAGCCCCTTAGCCCCTTAAACCCTTAACCCTAAATGCCGAAACTCCTTAACCCCTAACCCTAAACCCTACATGCCTAAGCCCTAAACCCCTACATGATTTAGGGCTTAGGGATATAATCCCTAAGCCCCTAAACCCGAAAGCCCCCGAGAGAGACTGCGGCCGCAGGCCCGGCAAGCACATCGCCAGGATGCCATGGCCGACTGGAGGAGTTCAGGGTTTAGGGTTTAGGGGTTTAGGGGTTTAGGGGTTTAGGGGTTTAGGGGTTTAGGGGTTTAGGGGTTTAGGGGTTTAGGGGTTTAGGGGTTTAGGGGGTTAGGGGTTTAGGGGTTTAGGGGTTTAGGGGTTTTTAGGGTTAAACCCCTGAACCCCAAACCCTAAACCCTAAACCCCAAACCCCTAAACCCAAACCCCAAACCCCAAACCCCAAACCCTAAACCCTAAAACCCTAAACCCCTAAACCCCCTAAACCCCTAAACCCCTAAACCCGAAACCCCTAAACCCCTAAACCCCTAAACCCCTAAACCCTAAACCCCTAAACCCCTAAACCCCTAAACCCCTAAACCCTAAAAAACCCCTAAACCCCTAAACCCCTAAACCCCTAAACCCCTAAACCCCTAAACCCCTAAACCCCTAAACCCCTAAACCCTAAAGCCCTAAACCCCTAAACCCCTAAACCCCTAAACCCCTAAACCCCTAAACCCCTAAACCCCTAAAGCCCTAAAGCCCTAAAGCCCTAAAGCCCTAAAGCCCTAAAGGCCTAAAGCCGAAAGCCTCAAGCCGAAAGCCTCAAGCCTCAAGCCTCAAGCCTCAAGCCTCAAGCCTCAAGCCTAAAGCCTAAAGCCTCAAGCCTCAAGCCTAAAGCCTAAAGCCTAAAGCCTAAAGCCTAAAGCCTAAAGCCTAAAGCCTAAAGCCTAAAGCCTAAAGCCTAAAGCCTAAAGCATAAAGCCTAAAGCCTAAAGCCTAAAGCCTAAAGCCTAAAGCCTAAAGCCTAAAGCCTAAAGCCTAAAGCCTAAAGCCTAAAGCCTAAAGCCTACACCCCCGGGCCGAAAGTTTCGACCCACGGCACATGTTGGATGGCACACAGACAGTGAAGGCTCCCGCGGAGTAGCGGAGTGCCGAAAAGTCGCATTTTCCCTGCGCCTGCTAGCGGAGAAATTAATACCCCGTTTTGAAAATATAGTACTATAGAAGCTCCGGAGGAGGCCCCCAGCCCCATTGTGTCAGGAGTCTATGGGGAAGAGGGCGGGGTAAGGGCGTCAGAACCCCAAGATGTTGGTGGGTCGAACTATCGGCCCGGCGCAGCATGCGTTTTGGCGGCGAGAGTCCGTGGCATGCACAGTGCGGGTGAAACGCCTGCTAGGATCTGGCCATGCCGCCCTTCTTGGACACGACCTCCTTGCAGGTCTTTTTGAAGCCCGCGGCTATGTGCGAGGCCACCCTTTGGGCACGCTGTGAAGCCAAAACCGCGCGGACGCGCGCCTTGAAGGCCAGCATGCCGATGGGCGGGCGCTTGCGGCGGAGGTCTTCCCGATCCAGGTGGCGGAGGCGCCTTCGCAGCCACGCCCAGAACTTCTCCACAGGGTTCAGGTCCGGCGATGATGCCGGGACCGGCCAGAGCGTGATGTTTTCGGCCGCCATGGCATGCCTGCTGGCGGCCGTGTGCAGGAAGGCCTCATTGTCGCACAAGACCTTCCAGGGGCCGTGTCGCCGCACTGGCTGCAGCGCTGTTATGGCGGCCTGGAGCTTCCCGGTCTGGACCACGCGGCACCACTCCTCTGCAGTGAACTTGCGTGCTTTGTGGAAGGCGACTGTGCGGAAGCCCCCTTCTGACAGCCCACCCCAGAGTGGCACGGCTCGAGCACGTGGCACCTGTGACGGGTACGGGTTCTGTCCAGCCAGCCGCTCCATTCCAGCCTCCCCGCGCTGCCGCCACATGTAGCCATCCCCGTGGGCGCAATAATTGCGGCGGTCCGTGGGATCCCGTGGCGGTAGCGACAGCAGGACCCCATCCATGGAGAAGGACAGCTTCTCTCGCAGGCGGGCCCGACTGAGCTGCACCACGCTCCTGGCAAAGCGGAGGCGCTCCTGCCGGCGTTCTGCACTGTACTTGCGCTTCTGCGCTTTTGGTAGCCAGAAGTATCCCTGGCGACGCAGTGCCTTGCGGATGGCCGACTCATCCAGCTGCACACCCCGCTTCGCGAGCAGTTCTCGCTGCAAGGTGCCAGAGGTGCAGACACAGTGCATGCGCAGGGCGAGCAAGCGCTGCACCAGGAACTTCTGCACGGCCTTGGTAGCTTTGACGGGTCGGCGACCGCAGTTCCGGTACTTGTACGGTCGCCGCCCCTTTGCCTGGCTGAAGCCCTTGTAGACTCGCTTCAGGAGCGACAGACTGGGCCGCTCCCCGCGCAAGTTCCGCACCCGGGAACGGATGTCCTCCCACGCGCAGCCATGCACCTCCCGCAGCACCACAACCTGGCGCTCAGTCGCGAAGTTGAGCGACTGTGGGTGCCTCACCTCCTGCACAAGGGGCATGGTGCCGAGACAGCTGCGAGGGCACGCATGTGGGCTGGTCCTGTCAGTACCTTCCGACGCTAGCAATGCATGTCCCTGCATGGTCAAGGCGTGAGGAACCACAGGACGCACCGGCATGCCCACCCAACTGCCTCGCGCAGCCACATGTCCCAAGATGCACAGCGCGAAAGGACCCGAGATGCACACGGCGACCTGAGCGGCTCACGCGTTAGGACCCAAAATGCACACGGCCCAGGCTGCGCGCACGTTTGGACCCAAAACGCACACGGCTTCGAACCCAAAACGCACAGGACCCAAAACGCACACGGCCCAAACTGGCGCGACAAGGACCCAACCTGCACACGGTGACCGGAGCGGCTGACGCGTTCGGACCCAAAACGCACACGGCCCAGGCTGCGGCGCACGTTTGGACCCAAGACGCACACGGCTTCGGACCGAAAATGCACACGGCCAGGGATGGCGCGATAGGACCCACAATGCACACGGCCATGGAGATGCTAGCACCCATGCCGCGAGCGCAGACGCACGAGCATGCGCCTGCGCGTGTCGCATGATGTCGCCTGCGACTCTGGCACTCGAGCCGCCTCTTTTTGCGCCACCGTGCTGGCTGGCTCCTGGGATGCAGTGGCTGTGAAACATGTCTCGAGGCTGGACCCTCAGACCTGTGCCAAGATGTCAGGGAAGTGGACGAGGACGCGGTTGCGCTCGGAGCCGAGCCAGTCATGCGCGCGCAGGAAGTCGAGGTTCCGTGTGCTGTTGTTGATGGTGACTGCCACAGGCACTGCAAAGAGGTACTTCCGGTACGCGCACGTGCCGCCAGGAGTCGTGGCAAATTCGACACGCGTGTCGTACTTGCCCTGAAGTTTGTCCTGGTGCTCCGCAATGAACTTCAGGTCCCTCACATCGTCCAGGATGATGCCATCATGGGTGTCCCTGTCAAAGGCGCGCATCCCCTCTGGGAAGATGTCGAGACTCCCCACTTTGAGCTCCAGCGCGCGCTTGAACAAGGACTTCACCCACTCTGTTTTCCCTGTCTGGGAGGGCCCGTGGACGATGAGCAGTGGATAGCGTAGTCGATCTTCACGAAACGTCGCCAACCATGCTTCTGCCGCGGGCACTGCCGGGAAAGCCCGGTACACCTCTGGGTTCGATCGAAGCCTCTTCGTGGTGGCCTCGATGAGGGCGGCCTCAGCCAGGGCGGCCTCATGCTCGCGAACTGCATCCAGGTTGCGCTTCCGTGCCAGAACCCCGTCCCGCGTCAGGAAAAGGTACTGCTCGTACTTGGCCGATGTCAGCTTCCGCTGTTTCCACAGTGCTTCTGGCCATTTTCCCAGGACCTGGTAGGTTCGCCGAGCCTCAGTCCAGCATGGCTCGTAGTTGGCCGCGACGCAAGTCTCGCCGGAAGGCAAGCGCAGCGTCCCCACCTTGTCAGCCCACACGTAGAACATGCCGCGGTTGATGGACTGCTGCAGCTTGTTGCGGCAGACGCCCTCGCCGAGGTAGTCGTTGGGGCTGGCGTTGGGTCGCACGCCCTCAAAGATGAAGCGGGCGGAGCCGCAGTCCACTGCAGAAGTGAATTGGACCATGAGGTGCAGGTGGCAGTCGCCGCCGGAGGTCTGCTCCATCGTCGCCGCCCAGTGCTTGACAGTCCACGCCGTCACCGAGGCGGCCACAAAGACGCAGAACCTCTGCCATGCACCAGGCGCCTCCCCGGCCGGCCAGCTTTGATATGTCAGGAGCACCGCCTCGGAGCGAATGCGCAAGCCTTCGCGCCCGTTAGTGACGGCACTGCTTGCGGACACTGGCCCTGCCTGCGCATGGGCAGGTCGGCCTGGCGGCTTTGTGCCCTGGCTCGCCTGGACCCACGCATCCCTTGCAGCATTCAGGCGCTGCGCGTCTGCGGCTGCGCCGCCCTTGTCGGGATGCACCTTGATGGACACTCGCCGGAAGACCCGCGTCACCTCGACATCTGTCGACTCCCGCGTGAGGGTCACCTGCAGCCCGTATGCACCGGCCAGAGCCAGCAACAAGGTCACCAGCGCACGCTTAGCGCGTTGCTTCAGGTTGGCAGGCATGGCGCAAGGGCCTACAGGAGGCCGTCGGCTTCGAAAAATGCTTCCGGAAGGCACCCCCGGGCCGAAAGTTTCGACCCACGGCACATGTTGGATGGCACACAGACAGTGAAGGCTCCCGCGGAGTAGCGGAGTGCCGAAAAGTCGCATTTTCCCTGCGCCTGCTAGCGGAGAAATTAATACCCCGTTTTGAAAATATAGTACTATAGAAGCTCCGGAGGAGGCCCCCAGCCCCATTGTGTCAGGAGTCTATGGGGAAGAGGGCGGGGTAAGGGCGTCAGAACCCCAAGATGTTGGTGGGTCGAACTATCGGCCCGGCGCAGTAAAGCCTAAAGCCTAAAGCCTAAAGCCTAAAGCCTAAAGCCTAAAGCCTAAAGCCTAAAGCCTAAAGCCTAAAGCCTAAAGCCTAAAGCCTAAAGCCTAAAGCCTAAAGCCTAAAGCCTAAAGCCTAAAGCCTAAGCCTGACTGCAGGAAGCACACCTTCAAGCCTGACATCTCCATGAGCCAGGCCAGGGGCACCTGCTTCCAGATGAGCTCCGGTCATAGGGTTTAGGGTTTAGGGTCTGGGGTTGAAGGTTTAGGGTTTAGGGTTTGGAGTTAAGGGTTGCAGCACGGGTTGTTACGATCAACAAGACTGCTTGAACATCCTAACCCCAGAAACCCTAAGTACCTAAATCCCCGAAGCCTTAAACCCTCGAAGCCTGAAGCCCTGACGCCTTGAAACCCTGAAACCCCTCGTTGAATCGAAGGCGACTGGGCCTCAACTCGCCCGGTGCTTAGCGCCAAGTGTGTCTCGCAGCTGCCCGGGTTAAAGGGAATGACTCGGCGGTGAGGGTCAAGAAGCTTAGGGCTAGGGGGTCGGGTTTACGGTTAAGTTAAGGGCTTTCTGGGTTTAGGGTTTGGGGATTCGGGGTTAAGGGCTTTATGGGTTGAGGGCTTAGGGTTCAGGATTTCTGGTTTCGGGGCTTCGGGTCCTAAAGGGTAGAGCTTAGGGGCGTACGGCATAGCAGAGGGCTCTAGGGATGAGGTGTTGAAGCGTCTCGAGCCTTAGTGATTCCGTGGAGCCAGATTTGTTTTCTGGTTCCGGCAGGTCTGGGATGAACCCTGAACCCTGAACCCTGAACCCTAAACCCTAAACCCTTGACCCTAAACCACAGGCATCCTCCTGGATTGAAATATTCTTCGATGATCTCCTTAAAAAATCCTAAGCCCTCTCAAATTGCCTGTTGGGCATAGAGCTCAAGGTACCGGAAGCCCTAAGCCCAAAGCCCTAAACCACAGAGCAAGTGAGGCGCGATCCGGAAACTTCCTTGATCAGCTGGAGACGGGCAGACTTCTTGGCATGTCCGTGTTTTGGGTTCACCAGTTGGCAACTCCCGAAAACCCTCAGGGTTAGGGGCTTAGGCCTTACCAGATTTCTGAAGTGAGAGTAGGAGGATTTCTGCTTATGCTGGGTCAGAATCTACACATGGGGGCTGATCATTGGTAATTAGAAAGTCCCACAATGATACCCTAAACCCTACACCGTAAGGGCTTCTCAAGTTTTCTTTGCAAACTGGTCACATACCAGCGATATGCTGTTGACGTTTGTGTTGGGGGTTCTGGACCACCCATCGAAAAGGGTTTTAGGGCCTGGGGTCTCTGCTCAGATACGAAGCTATTTCTGCCGCGCGTAACTGTGTATTTCTGCTGACAGACAGACATGCAAGGCAGCATTGTGACATCTTGGCGACTCATCTCTGCCTGTCTAGATGGAGCAACAAAAAGTGCATCTACACCAGGGTCCTGCTACTCCGCGCTGTAAGTTCCCTCCAAAAAACCCTTACATTGGCTGAGGACGTGCCGAAGAGGCCCCAAGCCAAGGGCAACAAGGGGGCTGGGTGGGTATGAGGGTGTTCGGGCATTGGGGTGTTAGGGTTGTTAGGGTTGTTAGTCTCGTGAGGGTCATCTCTTGTGGCCATGAGGAAGCTCATTCTCGGAGGTACCAGGGAAAGGGATGTCCAGCAACCCTGAAATCGCATCTCCTTGAAGGTTTAGGGCAATAATCCTCTGGTCTGCTGTATGAGTCTCTCAATACCCTATCCCTAAACCCCATGTGGAGAAACCCTAAGCCCCAAATGCCCAACACCCCCCCACCCCCCCGCCCTCCCCCCCAACCCCAAGCCCTCAACCCTGAACCCAAATGCCCCCAAAACTCCACAAGGCCTCAATCCTAAAACCAAATGCCCTAAGATAGACCTTCGAGGCTTGAAACTACCCTGAATCCTGAAAATAACGATGAAATAACGCTAAGCCCTAAACCCTAAACCCGAAACCCTACAAAAAACCCTAAACCCTAAACCCTAAACCCTAAACCCTAAACCCTAAACCCTAAACCCTAAACCCTAAACCCTAAACCCTAAACCCTAAACCCTAAACTGGAGGATGCCAGTGGCCTCCAGACCTTCACCATCTCGGGGCGCCCGACGGCCCCCATCCGAACCAGCACCCACCCGGCCGGGGCCCCGGGGGCCCTGTTTAGGGTGGAGGGGGTTTAGGGTTTAGGGTTTGGGGTTTGGGGTTTAGGGTTCAGGGTTTAGGGTTTAGGGTTTGGGGTTTCTGGTTTTCTGGTTTTTGAGTTCTTTGCTGACGGCTGCACTATTCGGTGTCAAGTGCTCGGTGTGTTGAGTTGAGGGTTGTGAGGCTTAGGGCTTAGGACTTCGGGTTTCGGGTTTAGGGTTCAGGGGTGCAATGCCTAGCTTTCAACTTGAAATCCCAAGCTCCCAAAGAGCCCCCTCAACCCATAAACTCCTAAAACCCAAAGCCCCTGAACTTCTAAGGCCCCAAAATCCTAAAACCCCAAACCTGGAAACCCCCAAGCCTGAACCCTAACTCCTAAAACCCCTAAAGCCCCCGAAGCACCGAAACCCCCTAGAGCCCTAAACCCTCTATAAACCCCTGACACCCTGAGGCCAAGTTGCCTTTTGTTCAAGCCTTTCTTGTTTAAGCGGCTTAAAGGGGATTGCGGGTTTACGGGTTCGGGGGTCTCTCTTCGCCTCCAACATTGGGGACTGCAGCGGGTTTAGGGCTTAGGGTTTAGGATGGCACCGTGCCCTAGGGGTAGTTTTATTAGGGGCCTTGAACAGACGACCCCCTATATACCCCTTAATATGCCCTATACAAAAATGAGGGCCTATGCATCTCAGAACCCTTTAAGGGAGGTGAGTTACCGCACTAAGGGCGCATGAAACTTCCCTTAGACGCGCCTACTTCCTCAGGCATTTGACCAGGATCTCTCAGACGAGGATGATTTAAAAGTCACACAGGCCGGGGTTGGCGCGTGGGGTTTGGGGTTTAGGGTTTCGGGCACTCGAATATGCCACCGAAATGCCGTCGTCCTTACCATCGGCACCGCGAAAACGGTTAGCCTTCTTGCAACCCTCAACCCTACACCTGGAACCCTAAACCTTAAACCCTAAATCAGTATAGGTGCAGGGGTTTTCCTGGGGAGAGCGGGTGCTGTGCCGGTTTTAGGCTTTAAGGGCTTTAGGGTTTAGGGGTTTCGGGTTAGGGGTTCAGGGGTTTTGGTTGATGGGGTTCAGGCTTTAGGGTTCAGGGTCTTTTGGCTTCTCGGGTTCAGGGTTTAGGGCTTTTAGGCAATGAGGGCTTGGGGGTTTTTATGATGTTCAGGCTTTGAGGGTTTTGGAGGTTTAAGGGTTTAGGGTGACAACAACCATTCGTATTTCTTGCTACACTTTATACCAGGAAGATAAAACTACCCTCCTCCCCCCCCCCCCCCCCCAAACTCCCGACCCTCTTGCTAAGATGCCCCGCGGAACCCTAAACCCTAAGCCCTAAATCCTAAACTGCAGAGGAGTAGGGATTCTCTCCGCGAATGAAAGCTATCACCGCAGGACTCCAACTTTGAGAGCCCCAGCAAAGAGATGTCCAGCATCGAGGCTCCCTTAGGGTTTAAGGGGTTCCTTAGGATTTAGGGTGTAGGGGGTTTAGGGGTTTAGGGGTTTAGGGGGTTTAGGGGTTTAGGGGGTTTAGGGGGTTTAGGGGGTTTAGGGGTTTAGGGGTTTAGGGGTTTAGGGGTTTAGGGGTTTAGGGGTTCCTTAGGGTTTAGGGGTTTAGGGGTTCCTTAGGGTTTAGGGGGTTTTAGGGGGTTTAGGGTTTAGGGTTAAGGGCCTCCAGGACGCTTGCAAGGCTTTTTTTTCAATGCCAGACCCAAGAGGGCTCCAAGAGGACTCAGAGGCTGGGATGCTTCCACCTCATACTCTTAGAGAAATTATTTGTAGAGGATGCTCTCTTTTCCCTACTAAGGACGTAGAGGATGAAGCAACATCCCCAGCTTGGAGAGGGCTTATTATAGGGTTTTCAGGGCTGGTAGAGGGCTTAAGAGGGCTTAAGAGGGCTTAAGAGGGCTTAAGGGGGCTTAAGAGGGCTTATAATGGGGCTTAAGAGGGCTTAAGAGGGCTTATAATGGGGCTTAAGAGGGCTAATGTATGGAGACTCTCTTAGACCCTTAACCGTAGGCCTAAGCCCTAAACCCCCATCACTGAACCTTCACTACTGAACTACTGAACCTTAGACCCCAACACCTAAACCCTGCTCGGAGGTTCAGGGTGCATGTAGCACAATTATAAGTTGGTCTATAGCCCACCTATATGTCTTCGCCTCTTGAGTACCCCCCAAGAGGGGTACAATGGGGTCATGAGTACAGTTCCAATCAAGTGCATAAGTACCGCCCAAAACCTTAAACCCTAAACCCTAAACCCTACCCAAAACCTTAAACCCTAAACCCTAAACCCTGCCCAATTTGCTGATGTCAAGGTGCTACTTGCGAAGTGCGGGACCGCACGCCCACTTAAGCCTCCCTGCCAGTCCCAGCCGCCACTCTTGGCAACTTGGTTTAGGGTTCTAAAGTTTAGGGTTTAGGGTCTAGGGCTTTTAGAGTTTGGGTTTAGGGCTTAGGGCTTAGGGCTTAGGGCTTAGGGCTTAGGGCTTAGGGCTTAGGAGTT